CTTTAAATCAAAATAATTTCCCATACTCTCAATACATTTCTCCCAACGTGTTGGTAACTTATTAATTCCGTCTGAGTAGAATTCAGAATTTTTAGAATTGATAAAGTCAATAAATGCATTTTCCAGTTCCGTTTGATTTTTGAATATTATGTGTTGTAAGTAGTGGTCCAGGTGTCTAAAAAAATGGTAGTCAGTAGGCGAGAGGTCCGGAGAGTAGGGTGGGTGAGGCAAAGTTTCATAGCCAAGCTCCAATAATTTTTGTGACGTTACACGTGACACATGTGGTCGAGCGTTGTCATGCAACAAAATGGGCCCTTTCCGATTGACCAAAGAGGGCTTCATTACTGCCAATTTCTGATGCATGGTATTAATTTGGTTACAGTATGATTCAGCATTGATGGTTTCGCCAGGATTTAAGAAGCTGTAGTGTATTAAACCAAATGAAGCCCACCATACCGTAACCATTACCTTTTTTTGATGAGTTGGGGGCTTTGGAAAATGTATTGGAGCTTCTCCTTTGTCGAGCCACTGTCCAGAACGTCTAGTGTTATCGTAGAGAATCCACTTTTCGTCACATGTAACAATTCTGGCCAGAAATGGGTCATTTTTGTTTCGACAAAGAAGTGATGCACAAACATCAAAGCGCTGATTTTTTGGCGATCGTTTAATGAGTGTGGAACCCAATTTTCGAGTTTTTTCACTTTTCCAATCGCCTTGAGGTGGTCAGCGACGGTCGTTTTACTGACTTTGAGTTGCTCTGCAAGTTCTCGAACAGTTGTTTTGGGGTTTTCTTCCACCACTGATCGCAGAACATCATCATTAAGAGAGGAAGGCCTTCCACGACCTTCTTCATCTTCAAGGCTGAAATCTCCCTCCCGAAATTTTTTAAACCACCTTTGCACAGTGCACTCATTAACACAACCCTCGCCCCAGACTTGGTTAATGTTTCTAGCCGTTTGGGCTCCGCTTCGGCCGAGTTTAAACTCGTAAAAGAAAATCGTACGAAATTCTCGCTTTGACATTATAAGGATGACTGAATTATTTCCAAGTAGCGGAATGCTACAGAGGTAAACAAACAATATCATTTGGAAGAGGATTAATAAGTGTTGACATTCATACAAATGAGTAATCCTGTAAACGTAAACAGAATATTTTATATAGATTTTTTTTAATGAAAACTTAAAATCCTGCATTATTTTCCGGACAACCCGATACAATAAGCAAGAAGTTCATACATCACACGTGTTTATACTTAATGTTTCATTTTGATTTTTAAAAGAATCAACAATTGACGTGCATATTAAGTTAAAATTCTATTGTTTTATTTGTATTTAAATAGGTATAAAATTTAGCTAATCGGTCAATTTATTTTTATAAACAAAATGTTCAAGGCTTGTCGATCATAAAGGATCATGTTTTATCACCAGATAAATAAGCCCTAGGAATTGTTATTATGGCTTAAATGAAGAACAGCGTAAAAATAGAAAAAGAGCATAAAATTCTATTAGGTCTGTCAGGCGGATGAAATTAGGAAATTTATATTTTACGTCCAAAGCGTGAGATACGAGACCGAGGGGGGATGATTGGCGTTTCTTCCCTCTCGGCGCGAGAGACGTGACAACGATGACAATCAGAAACACTGCTGGAAGAAAATTGTCTACTGGACATCGAAATAAATCATAATTCATAGAGAGAAAAAAATCTCGTAAACGAATTATCCTTATGAATCAGATTCGATGTGAAACAGCAGAAGGAGAGCAAGGGTGGCTGAGTCAAGTTTCAGGGGTGCACGTACGTGCACTTCGGCTGATAATAACCCCCTCCTACATTAGACGTTAACACGTGGCGTAACGGGGATGATACCGCAAGGGGTGGTGCGAATTGTGTTGTTTGTTCCTTCTTGGAAGCTGTAAACAATGAGTGCCTGCTGGGAAAACTGCCAGCGTATGTGGCAAACGTTAAACTTCATCTCCAACTACTTATCCACTACACAAAAAGTAACAGATGTTGGATAAGAAAAGAAAAAGAAAAATTCAATTATAAACAATAACTAGCTTAGGTGAAAAATATCAGTATAACTTGAAACTAAACCAGAAAAAGTAAAAAATTATAAAAAAATTATATACGAAGAAAAACGCAAGCTACAAAAAAGTAGTAAAAGTAAACTACCTTAGTATAGCGCTAGACGTATAAAGTCAATCATAGCTTGAAACTAAGACAGTTAACCTAAGAACTAATAAAAATTGATATAAGAGACTGATCCTCATCTGACAAATATAATATTAACTGATAATGGATGAGAAAAGAAAAGAAAAAACAGACATCCCAATTAAAAAAATCAAAAACGAATTAATAATTAATAATGAAAAAGAACAGAAAAATCGCTAATTACAAAGCAGAAATTAACCTAAAATAGAGCTAGACATATAAAGTCAGTCATCAGTTGAAACTGAAAAAAAACTAACCTAAAAATTAATGAAATTGAAATTACAGAAACGGATCTACATAAAAAATGAATGAATAATGAAATATAAAAGAAAAGACGCTAAACATAAAGCAGAAATAAACCTAAACTAGAGCTAGACATATAAAGTCAGACATCAGTTGAAACTGAAAAAACTAACTTAAAAATTAATGAAATTGAAATTACAGAAACGGATCTACATAAAAAATGAATTAATAATGAAATATAAAAGAAAAGACGCTAAACATAAAGCAGAAATAAACCTAAACTAGAGCTAGACATACAAAGTCAGTCATCAGGTGAAACTGAAAAAAACTAACCTAAAAATGAATGAAACTGAAATAAAAGAAACGGATCTACATAAAAAATGAATTAATAATTAATAATGAAGTATAAAAGATAAAATTCTAATTACAAGGCAGAAATAAACATAAAATAGGGCTAGACATGTAAAAACAGGCATAAGTTGGGACTGCAACATATAACCTAAGAAATAATAATGAAATATACAGAAAGTGAAAACAAAAGAGACGAGAAGAAGCAAATTACAAAAAAGATATAAACCTAAAGGAACGTACTATCGCGCTAGATATATAAAGCAAGTCATAACTTGAAACTTTAACAGTTAACTTAAAACATAAGAAATAATAATGAAATACACTGATAATGAAAAAGAAAAGAGACGAGAAAACGCAATTTATAAAAAAACTTAAATTGCTATAGTACATCGCTAAACATATAAAGTCCATCTTAAGTAGAAACTGAAATAACATAAAGAAACGATAAATATAATGAAATTTAAATAAATCGAAGAAATAATAATGAAATATACTGATAATGAAAAAGAAAAGAGACGAGAAAACGCAAATTATAAAAACGAACAAACCTTGAAGTACTGTACTATAGCGCTAGACTTATAAAGCCAGTCACCAATTGAAACTGAAACAAATAACCTTAAAAAAATAATAAAAATTGAAATAACAGAAACGGAAAATGTATTATAATAGCTAATAATGAAAAAGAAAAGAAAAAACTCTAATTACAAAACAGAAATAAACCTGAAGTGCAAAGTCAGTCATAATTTGAAACCGAAACAGATAATTTAAGAAATAATAATGAAATATAAGGTACTAAAAAAGAAAAGAGAAGAGAACACGCCAATTACAAAAAAGATATAAACCTAAAGAGACGTACTACTGCGCTAGACATATAAAGCAAGTCATAACTTGAAACTGAAACAGATCACCTAAGAAATAATATTGAAATAAACTGATAATGAAAAAGAAAATGGATGGGATAACGTAAATGATAAAAAAAACTTAAATTACTACAGTATATCGCTAAACCTATAAAGTCATCAAGTTAATAAGAAATAACCTAAAAAATAATAAATATAATGAAATTGAAATAACAGAAACATCGTCATATGAAAAATGAATTGAATAACCGATAATAAACAGGAAAAGAAGTTATCAAAAGCAAATTATTGTAGTGAAGAACCAGATTATTGTAGTGTAGTGCTAGATATATTAAATCAGTCATAACTTGAAACTAAAATAGATAACAAGAAATAATCAAACGGAAATAGAAGAATTTAATAATTAACTAGTAAATATTAAAAATCTATTGACCTATTGACTTGTTTTATACCCTATGTTATAATGTTGACATGGTTGCTTTATTGATCTACATCGAACACCATGTTTAGTTGTTTCCCGTTTTAATCCCAAAGGCGATAAAATACCCAGCTAATACAACCTCAGCCTCCAGCGACATATTTATCATAATCATGGAACAAAGTGCCAAACGTTGGCCACAGACCGAGCCGGTTCGAGATGCGCAATAAGTATTGATATTTCATTCAATACTTTTGGTGAGGTGCCGAACAAATACAACTTGTTGTACATGGTTTAGAAAAAGGGGTACATTCATTGGTGAAAGAAAAGAGTCAGTTTTTAGAATTTTATATATAGATTAGATATCAGTGGTGTGCTTAGCATAAATATGTACGGGAATGTTTAGGAAAAATTAGTTATTGATTTCAGTTAATTGTGAAGAGGTGACTGTTATTAGACGTCGCATTTATCTGTCAATTTCATAACAACTCGAGCATACTGTTGTAAGTCCTCCTAATCAAAATTCACCCCCTTAACTTTGTACTTATCCGGTTAACAGCTGCCGGTTCAACAAACTGGCTAACTACGCCAAGAATGACTAATTAACATACTTATTCTACTCTAAACAGAAGGTAAACATTATAATTTACAACAGAACTTATTGATTTTGGTTTACCACCGAGGGTGTTTGTACACGACGGCGCGTTCCGTTGAAACCCTCTTAAAAAATGTTGCAGATATTATTAAAGCAGTTTTAATCTGTGTCAGAGGAGAAATAATGCGCTCGATATGCCAAAGTCCGACACTTGGAAAAATATCAGCGAGACCGACAATAAACAAATGTCACGTAAGTTCAAGGCCCGAGGGCGCTAAAATGGCGTGGTATTTAAAGAGTATTCAACGGAAAATTTTCAACTGACCTTCCAGAGTTCCTCGGTATGCGTTTCCAGGGTTGTAATGGACAGTCTCGCCGGTCCCTCGCTCGAAAATGACGTCGTTGCTGAAAACCTCTCGGTCCCGGTAGAGGACCAGACGAAATTCCCTGAAAAAAAATTCTAATATTAGTAAAATCATAAAAATTATTATTATTTAATGATAATACAATTTTTCCGGGTCATACCTAGTTTGTTCAATATTTCCAATAAAATAACAGAGAAAAAATGAATGTTTAGAAAAAAAAATTAAAAATGACTCATAACTTGAATATTAAAGAATTGGGAAGGGGTTCAATTACAGTTTCAGCTCAATCTTACCTGGGCAGATTATTAGCACCAATAGTGCAGCATATGATTGAAACAGGGCATTTGGAAAAATGGCAAAAAGAAGGGAAAATTCAAAAGGTGGGGTTGAGATGGGAAGTCGGTGTCCGAGTGGATCGAGGTCACGATAGCTCAAGTGATAGAGCAGCGGCGTATCTAGCCGAAGATCGTGGGTTCGAATCCCGCTCGTGCCATTGACTTTTTTATCTCAACTAAAAACCTTAATTAATTGTAATGAGTATATTAATTTGAAATATACCTCAATAGAGTTCCCCAAATCAAGTCATAAGTCCAATTTATAATAATTTTGTCCTATGCGAGGAAAAATTGGCTATCTACAGCTAAAATGTTCTTAATATAGCAGATAAGAAATTTGTAAAGAAACGAAAACGTTTCGTTTTTGGCCTGGAGCAAGGAAATGTTTCCAGTCCGGCAATCGAGAAAAGGGATAACGGAGTTTTCTACAACAACACTGACACTTCTGCAAAGAGGCCTACTACAAAGATTTTCTACAGGTCTTAACATCTGTATAAAAGGGGCTTGTCAACAATGACCCGGTCAGGGCTTTTATTCACGTTTCAAAAATTCTTTACATCCCGGACACTTCCGTGGAAATACGAAAGAAAGCGTCATTTCCACTGTGACGTTTATTTATTTTAAATCGTATAAAATAATAACAAAAATATAAAATAAAACAATTTAATAAAAATCAAGTGTTCCGGCTAATTTTCTTTTCTTTTTATTCCAGTTCACTAATTAATAAATTATTTGTTCTTCAAGACCGTCTACAACCTGAAAAGGTATAAATAATTTCTAGAACAATCCTCTGGTCCCTTCATTTTCGCTGTTTCTACGTGCCATAGGGGTTTCTCGATTATTTCAGTCTAACCTGGAAGTGTTCCGAGATCAAGCTGTCACCAAGTAGACCACACAATAGAACTTTACAAATTAGAAACGGAGATCCTGCTCACCCTATTATCTGGCCGGCCTTTTGGAAATTTAAACTACGTAGTTTAATACGTCCACTATTATTTAAATGTTATATTATATACTACTACATTTACTAAATAAAAAAATAAATATATAAAACTATTTATTATGTTCTATCTTGATTGAATTTCCTCATCGGATTTTTAGAAAATAACCTTGGTAATGCCACGTAGGGTTTATTTGAGAGTAAATGTACATGATCATAACAGAATCCAATCCCTGAGTGATCTAAGTGATAACTTTGATGTTAGTGCTATATTAATAATTAGAACTGGTGCCAACTGTACAAACAGTCGACTCATGTTCAAATTAACACATATTGCTGTTTGTTTGATATACCTCCATCCAAAAATGGGCAATTTTGTTTTAAATTTAATAGACGTGAAAAATAATAAACAACGGATTTTATTAAACACGTTTAAAAATGAGAGAAAGAAATAAGACAGAGAGGGAAAGAATGAATGAATGCGGTTTTATTCAGTGTTGCAGAATTTGGTCAAATACTGATCACTATTACATTCTACGACAAGAGGGAGTGAGTGATAGTGAGAGTGAAAGTGAGAGTAAGAGAGAGAGAGAGAGAGAGAAGAGAGAGAGAGAGAGAGAGAGAGAGAGAGTGGAATTAAAGAATTAAGAACAAGTGTGTTAAAGAATAAAGAAATATGCTAGGAAAATTTCCCAAATAATACAACAAAGAATAACTGAGAAGGTTATTGAGTTAGTGATTCAATAATGGAGTGAATGAGTTAAGGTTATTGAGTAAGTAATGGCGTTAATGACTAAACAAGTGTGTTAGAGAGTAAAGAAATTTATGATACATAGTAGAATAGAACAAAGAATAACTGAGAAGGTATTGAATAAGTAAGTCAATAATGGGGTTAATGAGTAAATAAGTATGTTAAAGAATAAAGAAATATGCTAGGTAAATAGTTTCCCAGGAAATACAACCAAGAATAACTGAGTACGTTACTGAGGAAGTAAGTCAATAATGGGGTTAATGACTAAATAAGTATGTTAAAGAATAAAAAAAATATGCTAGGAAAATAATTTCCCAAGAAATACAACAAAGAATAACTGAGAAAGTTATTGAGTAAGTGATTCAATAATGGAGTGAATGAGTTAAGAGTGTTAAAGTGTACGGAAAATGCAAGTAAATTAGTCAGTCCTCTAGTTAATAAATTATGCAAATAACTTAGTAAGTTATTGAGTAGGTAAGTCAATAATGAATTGATTGAGTTACTGACTTAACAATGTGTCAAAGAGTTTAAAAAAATGCTGGGTTTTTACCTATCCAGTCCCCTAGTTAATACCGTATTCGAATAACTGAGTAGGTTTTTGAGTAAGTAAGTCAATAATGGGGTTAAGGACTAAGTAAATATGTGAAAGAATAATGAAATATGCTAGGAAAATAGTTTCCCAGGAAATACAACCAAGAATAACTGAGTAGGTTACTGAGAAAGTAAGTCAATAATGGGGTTAATGACTAAATACGTATGTTAAAGAATACAGAAATATGCTAGGAATATAATTTCCCAAGAAATGCAACAAAGAATAACTGAGAAGTTTATTGAGTATGTAATTCAATAATGGAGTGAATGAGTTAAGAGTGTTAAAGTGTACGGAAAATGCAAGTAAATTAGTCACTTCTCTGGTTAATACATTATGCAAATAACTGAATAAGTTAGTGAGTAATTAAGTCAATAATGAAGCGAATGGGTTAGTGAGTTAACAATGTGTCAAAGAGTTAAAAAATGCTGGTAAAATAGTCCCCTAGTTAATACCGTATTCGAATAACTGAGTAGGTTTTTGAGTAAGTCAATAATGAGGATAATGACTAAGTGTGTTAAAGAGTAAAGAGATATGATATATAGCAGAATAGTCCTCCAGTAAATACAATATGCAAATACCTGAGTAGGTTATTGAATAAGTGACTCAATAATGGAGTGAATGAGTTAGAGAACAAAAAATATGGATTAGTGTGTGAATAAATTAGTTACGTGAAGAAACGAGTTAGTGAGTAATGATAAAATTAATTTGATCAATCGAGTTAGTAGAAAGTTATTGAGGGTATCTGTTATTCTGTGTGAGTTAGTGAGCAAATGAAAAAGCAAAAGAAATGGAAAAAGCCCAGCTTGTTTAGCGTAAATTGATTGCCAGTTTAGCTCAAATCTTTCGAAAGTAATGAAACTAATGTCGGGTCTGTGTTTTTTCATCTCGTTTTTGTTGTGCATGAAAAAGAGTAGAATGTAATCGGCGAGGTAAATGTTTTTCCCCGTGGAAAATCGCACACGAGTCGGAGGAAACGATTGTCCCTGTCTAAGAAATAACAATTTACTTAATTCCATTTCCTCCGGGGCGACATTTCACAAAGAATTACTCCTCGTTCGTCTCGAAATTTATTTTCATCGCCGACCCTATTCGTCAGACGTAGAGAGTAAGTGTACTGATACATTTAACAAAATTAGTTTTGCCCTCGCTTGTATTTTTTCCGTCATTTTTATTCCTTTCCCTGGATAGTTATTTTAATCGGAAAGAATCCTTTTACAGAAATGAAGGGCTTTCTGTGATTTACCACGCTTGTGTATTTGCCCACCCCCTCCGAACCCCACTTTTATCAGAAAAGCAAACTTTATTCTCTTTTTGCTTGTTTTAATCTTTTCTCTGTTTAACAGCAACCAGTAAAAGAAACTGTAACGACAGAGAATTTAGGCATTAGATGGAGGTTAAACAATATTTCCCTCCATTTAACCTTATACAAACAGATTCCCTTCTTTACTTATGACGAACCAAATGAAGCAGAATATGATTATTTCTTTTTTTTAAATAATGTCCCACTTAAAAGTACAATATTTGTCATGTAATAAGTAAGAAAACCTTCATTTTCTTTTCAAGATATTTAACGTGTATTAAGACGGCCTAATTGTTACTATTAATTAAGCGAAAATGAGTTTCATTCAGCGTTTTACAATAATTTGTTTTAACTAAATAATAATTACATCAAATACGTTGACAGATGAATTGTATGTGTGTTTCTAACGTCTTTTACTATATCATTGTTTACCTATGTGCCACTTTCCTCTGTACACTCATACATTCACTTCTTATATTTTTCTCGATCCATCTCATCACTCATTTTCCCCCTCTCACTCACTCTCTCTCTCTCTCTCTCTCTCTCTCTCTCTCTCTCTCTCTCCCCCACTCCTTTTCAATATATTTCTCTATCTATCAATCCACCCACCTTTCTATCTCTCTCTACTTTTCTATGCCTCTCCCTCGCTCCCTCATTCTCTCTCTCTCTCTCTCTCTCTCTCTCTCTTTCTCTCTCTTTCTCTCGCTCCCATTCTGTCTCAATATATTTCTCTATCTATCAATCTACCCACCTTTCTATCTCTCTCTATTTCTCTTTCATTCTCTCTCTCTCTAACTCACTATTTCTCTCTCGGTCTCTCTCTCTCCCCCACCCCTTCTCTATATATTTCTCTTTGTATCCCCCCATCTATCTAATTATCAATCTACCCACATTTCTATTTCTCTAATTTTCTATGCCTCTCCCTCCCCCTATCACTCTCTCTTTCTCTCTCTCTATCTCTCTCTCTATAACTCACTATTTCTCTCTCTCTCCCTCTCTCTCTCTTCCTCTCCTTCTCAATATAATTCTCTGTCTCTCCATCCATCTAGCTATTTATCAATCCACCTACTTCTCTCTCTCTCACTCTCTCTCTCTTTCTCTTTCTCTCTCTCTTCCTCCCTCACTCTTTCCCAGTCTTTCTCAATACATTTGTGTATCTATTTA